GGCGGGTCTCGAACCTGCGGGCTCAGGCAATCCACTCACTTCAGCCTTCCAAAGGCGCGGGATTACAGGCTGAGCCACCGCGGCTCGTCTTGGTTCTTTTACATAGTTCACTGCAGCCTTGAACTCCTGGGCTCAAGCGATCCTCCTGTTTCAGTTCCCTGAGTAGCTGGGACTACAGGCGTGCACCACCACACTCAGCTAATTAAAAAAGAATTTTTTTGTAGTGACAGTCTCACTGTGTTGCCCAGGCTGATCTTGAATTCCTGGGATTAAGGAATTTCTCCTGCCTAAGGCCTCCCAAAGTGCTGGGATTACAGGGGGGAGTCACTGCACCCAGCCTTCACAGGCCTCTGAAGGACATGTGGGATTTCAGCAGAAGGAGAGGTGGTGTGGGTGTGTGTGGGCACATTCTGGCCAGAGGGATCAGCATAAGCAAAGGGTCTCACCCATACCAGGTGTGTGAGTCAGTGTGTTCGAGGCACTGTGAGTGAGGGTCAGGTAATGAGCGGGGAGGTTGGACAGCAGGTGGGTGAGTCTGGAGCACCTCACCACCAAGCTTTACGGAAGAGCCGTGGGAAGGCTCTGCAGTTTCTGAGCAGTGAGGACCCCGGGGAGGCCCTTAGTCAAAATGAAAGAATTGCTGTCACCCGCGATGCATTGCCCTCCATTGCGCCTCCCTCTGTGTGAGGGGTTTTTATTCTGCGTTCTACCTGAAGTAGGTTTTTATTTTTTCTTTTGAGTCGGGGTCTCAGTCTGTCACCCAGGCTGGAGTTCAGTGACGTGATCATGACTCATTGCAGTCTTGACCTCCTGGGCCCAGGTGATCCTTCCACCTCAGCTTTCCATATAACTGGTGTCCGCCACAACGCCCAGCTAATTTTTTGATTTTATTGTAGAGAGGAGGTCTTACTATGTTGCCCAGGATGGTCCTGAACTCCTGGGTGCAAGCAATCCTCCCATCTTGGCCTCTCATCTCTGCCTCCCAAAGTGCTGGGATTACAGGCGTGAGCCACCACGCCTGGCCAAAGTAGGTTTTGATGGGAAGACAGGCAGCATGAGGGGTTCAAATGCTGTGGTGAGTAAGGGACACTGGGTGGCTGTGCCAGCCAAGTAGAAAAGGACACCTAGAACCTCAGGGCCTGACTTTGTCTCCATTGCTCCAAGTCCCATGGTGACCCCCAGGAAGAGACCAGCCTGATTTATGGTCTGATCTTCCTTTGGGGTCATAATCCAGGGCCCCTCAGTAGGCCTGGGCAGGATCTCTGTGCCAGTGCCCTCCCCTCTGGGGTGGGTTGGGGTTTCTGCCTGCTGCCTTCCTGGCCCTGGGGAGGAGGGTGGTGCCGCTGAGTCACTGCCTGGGCATCTGGGCCTGGAACCCGGGTGAGTCACCTAGGACTGGGGGAGGGGGAGGCGGAGGAGAAAGAAGCTGCCTGACGTCTGGAGGGGGGAGGGGAGCTGGGCCCACAGGAAGGGCGGTGCCCAGGCGGCTGGGACAGCCAAAGGGCCGAGGAGGAGGGAGACCTGGCATGGGGCTGCCCTCCCTTGGGCCTGGCTCCCCATGGCCACAGTGTTTGTTCTTCACAGGGTCTGGGTAGGGACATGTGTGTGGGTGAGGGAGATGTGGGAGGGCCTGGCCTCCTGGCTGGGGAAGCTGTCCAGCTCCATATTTCAGCCCTTCATAGGGCTGCTCCCCTACTCACCCACCCAGCCTCCAAGCTGGAGAAGTGGAGGCTGCAGTTTTCCTGTTCCCCTTCCGCCCTTCGGGCTTCCTTAGGCTCCCCACAGACTGCTGGTCCTCCACCTGTGGCTGTGTGTGGAGCAACCCCCCTTTTTCACTGCTTCCACATCCTTCCATACCTCCTCCACACACAGAGGCCCTTTAAGGGATTTCTCAGCACAGCAGTTACCTCATTACCTCATTAAGAGGAATGTTGGTGCCAGCCATTAAAAGTAACTTCATTTCCCCGACCCTGGAAGTTCCCACTGCCTTTTCTGGCCCCCCCATTTCTAAGAGTGGCCGCAGATGGATTCTCCCTCACAAACACACACACGCACACACACAGGGCCACAGATACATGCACACACACACACACACACACACACACACACACACACACACACACACACAC